GCCCAATCGCAGACCGCGATTCAGTAAGGAGCTCAGGCCACATCTATGGCTGGCAGTCGTTATTTTCCAGGGAATTTCTGCAAGGGCAGTACTCATGGTGCGGGCAGCCCTGGCAGGGAGGCACGGGATTTCCACCGCTCCTCCCCGGAGCAGACGTGCTCGGAGCAAGGTCAGCAGCTCCTGTGGGCACCAGCTCCCACACAGCGCGTGCTCCGCCGCTGCGCGCCCAGCAAGGGGGCTCTTGGAGGCACTGGAATCCTGGGGCCCGGCAAAATACAAAGTTTTCCACCCAGATATTTTTATTCGAAGATTAAACTTGGTGAGTCTGATGCATGGCTAGTCACAAAACCACCTTTCAAAGCTTGGGCTGGCTGGAACAACATTTCAATGTTAGAAGTGCGCCGCAACCCTAACCACGAACCTGCTGGAAATACATTTTGTTCTGCTGGATTTCCTTTAGATTTGCAATGTAGCCCCACCTTGTCTCCATGCGTGAACCTGCCAGGCCCACTCCTAAAACCTCCTCTTTGAAACCCACAGACAAGTAAAGGCTGCTCGGTTCTGAGGCTGCTCAGGATCCTTGGGCAAAGGGCCCTTGAGTTCTGCTCTCTGCACTTCACCTTTCGGATGGAAAATAAGTTTACTGTAAAAGCAAAAAACTATATAATTGTCCTCATGAAACACTGTCCAACAAGAGCTCTCCAATTCAAAGGGGACAAACTCTCCCCAAATCGAGACCTTTCTATGATCCACCGGAGCTTTTAAAATGGTGTCTTAGTGAATACTAAGTGATCTACAGATCTATATGCTTTGTTATGGATTTCACCCAGAACAAGGTGAACACAAATTAACAAACCAGCCAGTAGTCCAAAAAGGTATGGACTACAGAAATATGGATAAGCGTTCATTATTTTTAACAGAGAGGTTAGCCAGTATATTTGGTGAGGTAACGTTCTGTGCTGCCACTGCTAGCAGTTTGTGCACTCTACTGCTATAAAAGGATGACTTAGGACTTAAATGATGCTAGAATAAAATGAGTGACTAACTGATCTGTGAAGTGTTTTATGTTCAATTTTTGCTCAAGTCCGCTTGACTTCAGCACACCTCCACTACAGAGCCCTGAGGGACCTAGCTGAAGGGCACAGTAAAATCTCTCCCAAATTCTCAAACAGCAAGGCCAAATGAAGTTGTTAATGCCTTTCTTGCAACTTCGGCCTCCTCCAGCACCCTCTTCCCAAACTCTGCCAACGGAGCCGTTGGGGGAGCTCCGCTATAAATTGGATCCCTGAAATAACTGAGGCTAAACCAACTCCTCATGCTGGCTTCGATGCCTACGTTTGTCCCAGCAGTGGCTGATCACCAGCTCATGGCTTTCCAGGTGGCTACAGATTTCCCAACTGGTCTCTCCTGTCAGGTTTTTCAAGGCCATTGTTTGGCAAAGACCAAGTCCCTTGGGATTCATGGGCTGAGGAGGACTGCAGAGTAGAGAGGAAAATTGTGGAAATACTGGAGTGAAGGAGGACACAGTAATTAAAAAGTGTTCTAGAGAAAGGCTAGGAAAGAGTAATGTCTTTATTTACTGATAAATAGTCTGAAAAGAACAGCCTGCTGATTACAGGAGCGGGTAGAGGGTATATTCAGTACTGGTGGGAAGCAGGCACTGGAAGTGGGGAACACTCCCTCCAGTGTGGCTGCACTGGCAATAAACTAGCAACGCTGGAGGCTTCCGCCCATGTTTTACCTCCCCTGCACAGAAAGTGTAATTCATCTTTTTCGTAAGTAAATCCTTCTCCATACCTAGGACAAGCATAAGCTAAATAGCTGTGCTTCCTTCTTTTCTTCCCCAAACTAATTCTTTCCTATTCTTCCTATTTCTTTATAGGAAACACAGCATCCAGTATGGCTAGGTATGCCAGGAACCTGCTGTAACTGCTAGCCCTTTCCTGAAACAGAGTTAACCTTGGCAAAGGCAAGCACCTCCTTGCCTTCGATTCTCTAAAGGCTTTTGACTGAGGTTGTGAAAACCGCCAAGAGAAGATTTTAATCCAGGGGTTCCCTACTGCTCCAGCAAACTGGAGGAATAGCTGAGGAAACACTCCAGAGCGATCACATCCCGCGTCACGCGGGACGCTCTGAGCGCAGCAGGTGCCGTTTATCCGGGTGGGAGCTGTGCTCTATGCAGCGGCTCAGCAGAAGCCACCGCCGCGCGCGCCCGCTGCCGGGGGCACCCAGCAGCAGCCTGTGCAGTTGTCAGCGGCGGAGATCATAGAAATCTTAGATTGCTTAAGGTTGGAAGGGACCGCTAGAGGTCATCTAGTCCAACCCCCTGCACACACAGGGTCACCTAGAGCACGTGGCACAGGACTGCGTCCAAGCGGGTTTTGAAGATCTCCAGAGAAGGAGACTCCACAACCTCTCTGGGCAGCCTGTTCCAGTCCTCTGTCACCCTCACTGTCAAGAAATTTTTCCTTAAGTTCCTGTGGAACTTTTGATGCTTCAGTTTCTGGACGTTTCCTCCAGTTCTGTCAGTGGTCACCAGTGAAAAGAGGCTAGCACCATCCTCCTCACTGCCTCCCTTGAAGTACTCATAGACACTGATTAGATCCCCTCTCAGCCTTCTCCAGGCTGAACAGGCCCAGCTCCATCAGTCTCTTCTCATAGGGCAGATGTTCCAGGCCCCTGATCACCCTTGTAGCCCTGCGCTGGACTCTCTCCAGCAGCTCCACATCCCTCTTGTACTGGGGAGCCCAGAACTGGACACAATACTCCAGATGTGGCCTCACCAAGAGGCTTCCACAGATGACAGGACAGCGATTGGCCACTGAGAGCTGCCTGGTTCATAAACCTGCCCTGCGAAACGTGAATCCGCCATGTGGATGTGTCGCTTCCTTCCCTCCAAGGGTACAGACTGAAAAAGGTGGAGGCAGCTTCACTTGCCGTGAGTGCAACGAGCTGGGGCTAAGGGGCAGCTGAGAGTATTTTGGGAGGCGCTGGTGCCTGGGCAGGTCTCCCTCCACCGATCCTTTACCTATACACAGCCGAGTTCTTGCTAGGAACGTGCCCAGCAAGACTGCCAATATCAACTATTTTTAAAGCTCCTTTTGGCAAATTGCACCATCAGATGTTTCACAATGATAAAGTTCACTTAAAAAAAAAAAAGAAAGAAAAAAGAAAAACACACACAAAAAAGCAGATTTTCTAAATCCAAACTGCTCATGCACCTGAAAGAGTAGACAACAGATTAATAAGCGTGACCTTCTGGAAGTTTCTCGGGAGTGCGTCCTGGTTCTCAAATCGCGTTTAGCTCTTTTTGTCCCACCTCTTTCTTAAAGGCTATGGAAGGCTTGGGCTGCGAGCACCCAGCAGGCTGTGGGCAGCCAGGCACGCGGCTCTCCAGCACGGCCGGCAGCCCGGAGCTCAGCCCTGCCAGCGGCACCCGCCGCCCCCCCGCTCCTCCGCGCAGCCTCCGGCCTCGCGAGAGCTGACACGCGGAAGACGCGCAGGAGACCCTCTGCCCTAGAAAAGGCAAAGCACCGTGCAAACCAATCGCTCCAGTAGCAAGAAAGCTTCGCACACTGACTAAACTGAAGGGCTCTTGTATCATCTCGTTTTCCCTTAAGTGCAGCAGATCAGCATACGCCTTCCCCGGTCCTCCGGACAGCCAGGAGGTCATCGAGGAGGCTCGTCACTGCTGGTCACCTCCTGCAGAGTTCCCCCCCTTGAACACTTAACTGTGAAACAGGGAAGGAAAATTCAATTAAAGATGAAAGCGTCATTCCCCAGCAAATTACGCACCATAAAGTCCAAAGACACTGATTCCTTCTTTCCATCCTGTCCCCGGGAAAAAAAAAGAAAGTTGGAAGTAAGCTGCAGACTGCATGAATGCCTCTTTTAACCTCACCGTTGGGAAACTCTACATATTATTCTGAAGTTAATAGAATACTTTCAATAATTTATACCTAACCTTTTATCCCATAATATTTTGAAATCTACTCCCTTGTACTAATAAATAAACAAAGGAAAAAGGGCACTTTGTGCGGAGCCGCTCCGTGAGCCAGCGGCTCTGTCCGTGTCAGCAGGCAGAGGCCCGGGCAGCAGCCTGCAGAACACAGGAACCACGCTGGCAGGCTCCACTGTCCCCAGAAATGGCCCCTGTGGGAAAGGAGATCTGAGGAAAACCTCTACCGTCATCCGAGAAAAAGAAACTGTCTGAATTAACTAACTTTGGAGGCTAGCCTCTGGACAGGAGCTGTGTCACAGCCCAAACCTATACTACTTCTCTTGGCGGAATCCAAAAACAAGTGCTACTTACCGAGTTCTAGGGAGAGCCCAGGCAGTTTTACATATTTAAACCATGAACATCAAGATATTCCTGCTACAGGATCCTACCTTTGCTATTTCAAAATATAATTCCTTGAGTTGCTATTTTTTTCTGCTCTAAGAAATACACTTAAAAATAAAAAGAAACAATTTCACTATTGTACCACAACAAAAAGTACAACTCTGATTCAGTCCTGACCTGTCCCACGCCACAGATCTTCAGTGCCTGCATAAGGATCTTGCACAGCCACTTCTCCCCCTTCCCCTGCAGCACTATTGCACCACTGACTGCCAAGTGCCTTGCCCTATCCCAATATAACACCTTGGGAATATGTGAGGCCCTGGCTGCCAAGAAAAAGCCATTTGTTGTGGCTTCAAAGAAGACATATTCTGCCTTGGTCCGCCTGATTTGTCATTAATGTCCCTTATGGCTAAATTAAGCAGGACACAGAGCATCAGGTGCATGCTGACAGTGTTGCAATTGAATGACTTTTAGAGCTTAGCCTCCTTTCCCTCCACACCTCCCCGTTCCTCTTGGTTGTGCCTGTTGCATACCAAAACATAGCAAGCCATCACAAGACAGATTAATAATATTACTGTGCACTAACTATTAAGTGATGGGAGCAAACTCCAGTAAAACTAGAGAGCCTTGTGTTTTAGCACATCTATAGGCCACTGACCTGTTTGCCCATTTCCCCTGTTCTCAAAGATCCTTCAGCCTGGTACCCAACTCTGTGATGAAGCCTGTTTAGCACCAGTGAAGTTTCCCACATTCAGACTGACAACGTTCTGGGCTGAGATGAGGGAATCAAAGTTAAAATCCAACCCATCTGCATCCATGAGTTCACTGCGGATAATGGACTCCATGTCACACTCCAAGCTCCCATTGAAAATATCCAGGTCCAAGTCACTTGGGAACTTCTCGTGTCCCATGACCGGGAGGTTCACGCTAGAGGAATACAAAGGGGAGCCTGAGAGCGGGTCAGAAAGTGTTTGCATAGACTGATTGACTGGTGACTGCTGATGTTTGGTGGATCCCAAGCTGTTTGAGTCATTTAAGCCAATGTTACTGATGGAATTTGACAAGGCACGGCTGCCACTAAGAGAGGAGTTGTGAGACGGGTGCTGGTGATGCGGCAGGTTGGGATTGACCAGACCGCCCTGGCTGGACTGCGCAGCAAACGACATCATGGGGTCACTGCGGAGCATGATATTCCTGCGGGAATTCTGGGCGGACACAGCTGTGCTGGCTTGTGACATGAGCGGGTCAGACTGCGTCATCATGACATCACTGTGACTGGGCGCATCCGAGGCAAGCAGATCCTGCAGCGTCTGGTTGTTGTAATGAGAAATGGAAGAGAAGGTGGCCTGCTTGTTCTCCTGAATGGTCTGCATGGGCGACTGGCGAAGGGAGTTCAGGGACGATGGCCCAAACACAGCGTTGTTGAAACTGCTTGATGGAGAACCCAGCCCTGAACCTTTGGAACCATATGGAAAACTGGAGCTTCTCTGCATTATCCCTCCTGGGGGTGACTGCTGGGAGGAAGGGAGTGTTATATTGTCCAAGAGATCATCCATGAGGTTATCTGTCAGTCCATCGTTCAGATTCATTGTCCCAGCCATATCAGTCAACCTTGGTAACTCCACAGTACATGGCTTGTTTACTGATGGGGACAGGCTCGATGGACTACTGTACAGCATAGGAGAGAGCGGAGCGTCGTCATCCTGAACGTCATCTAGTTCGGTGCTCGCCAGAATTGGGGACAAGCGGCCACTTATTGTGCTGGCATTGGAATTGGTACGGGAGCGGAAATCTGTCCATGCATCCAGCTCATCGCTGCTGCGGGAAGTGGGACTCCCTGGCCACTTGGCGAGCTGAGAAGGGCTGTCCTCGCTCGCCTCCGGGGCCGTTTGCAGGGCCGCCTTTTTCTTAGCTGCCCGCCCTCTGCTCTTCGTGTACTTGTTGCTATTGTCCATGGACACAGCCCGTCTCCGCGGTGCCTTCCCACCTTTCCCACCATCTGGGTTGATCATCCACCAGGAGCTTTTCCCGGTACCTTCGTTCTGCACCCGGATGAATCGGCTGTGGAGCGACAAGTTGTGCCGGATTGAATTCTGCAGGAGAGGAACAGAACAAAAAGGTCAAGGCCAGCACTACTTCGTTTGCTGCCCAAAATCCCAGCCACAAAACCAACATTGCACAAAAACACCGCTACGAATTAAAGCACGAGGGCCCTGCTAGCAAGGAGTTAGACAAGCTAGGGATATCGGCATGAGGAAACAGCCTGCTGCAGCCCTGGTAAAAAGGCTCCACGTTTCTGTCAGAGCAACACATCAAAAACCTAACTCTACCCACCCTACTGATCTGGGGCTTAACGCGCAGCTCAAAAAAGGACCAACAAGGAGTATTTGCTAGTGAGAATACTTCCAGGCTTCCTTTTTTTCTTTTCTCCCACACACAAGTCAAGGATTTCTGGCGCTAAGCCACATTCTCTTGACAAAACGGTTGTGCTATTCCTGCCTGCTAAAGACAAGCAAGTTTAAAAAGTTGCAGGAGTTTTTGTTGTTGTTGTTTTTCAAGGCAAACATCAGCTGTATCTATAAAAAGGATAAAAATACACGTGTTCTACCAGCACGCCTTAAAAACACAGAGCCAACAGGATCAGAGCGTAACCAACCCTGCAGAGTAAGTATCCCTTCATTGGCAAGGCACTGAAGAGACTGCAGATTTAAATGAACAAAGAACATATCAATCAGCAAATCATTCGTGAGCATCTGCACATTTCCAGCCTCAGGATAAAGAGCTGAAGACGCATGGGATGCATAAGGAAATACTGTCCAGCTTTATTTTTTTAATAATACTTTTCAGCATCAAATATCTTTCCCCGCATAAGTGCTGTGGTTTTTATCAGATTCTGAAATGAAAAACACGCCTAAAATTCCTCTCACTCACGGAAGAGAGAGCAGACACATTTGTGATTATCACATAATGAAAAGAGAAATCATGTTGACTACGGTTCAAAATAGCAACTGCTATATTTTAAACAATCTGCACAACAGAGCAGAGCAGGCTTTACAGACAGACTCCAGATAAGTTTGGGTCAGTGTTTCAGCAATAAAGTCATCTACTTGCCAGGGACTATAATGCCATTAAAATACAGCGGATTGAGTTGCAGCATAATAGTGCTTCAGTCTAGGAGGCAAAGAGCTTTTTATTATTTAACTGATGGTATTTTTAACTGTATTTTGAGTCCAGTGACAGGATCAGAGAGCTAAAACACCATACGAACCCAGGCTACAAGATTCCTACAAACCAAAAAATGCTGGAGAGCAGCTAACGAAAAAAATCTTGGAAAACACAGAAAAGAAACACCCGAGCTGGCCTACACACCACGCTATGAAGCTCCAAACATGAAAACAAACAACAAAGTGCCATCAGCTAACGGTTTTCAACTCATGGTATTCTCATAAAATGGCTTATTTCTGCTGGCAGTAACCATAGCATGAAACTATCTGGTCTAAAACCACAAAAATCCATCAGTAAAATTGTGGGATTGAAGCACCTTTCAGGATGAGGGCTCTTGCCTGTGCGGGTATGTGTGTGCACATGTGTAATTTTCTATTATAGTATCTTTTTGCTCAGCGTTGGTAATACACAAGTAATAAAAGAATGTAATAATACTTCTGCATTGAAAATTGGTGGTTATGAAAAAATCCAAGCAGTTTGTTTTCCTTTACATTACGCAATGTGCCATTTATGCTCCAGCCCTTTATTTTATTTTATTTTTCTTCTGTAGGAAGATTGTTTTCTTAAGCATAATTACGGAGTAATTTATTTTTGTGCACCCCATCTCCACCCTCTGTTCAAACACTGCCCTAAAACCCACTTCTTTCACGTAACATTCCCCACTAACCTCTGCAGCAACAGTATCTGAGCTCTGGCTTTCTCCTGGTGTTGGAAGCTCTGCCAAATCAAATTAGGGCTGGATCCTGTAATCCTTCCACACACGAGTGATGCTACAGAAGGCACCGGGACTGATAATTTGGAGGAGTAAAGGCTGTCACGCTGTAATCTGGGTGGAAATAAGCCCGTTTTGCACCTGGTTTCTGAACCGTCAAAGAAAGTTCATGTCTGCTTAAAATATGAGAAAGGACTCTGAGACAACGTTTGCCCATGAGCCTGTGTGTTATTGATATATGAGCATCTGACAAACCACAAAGGAGGTGGGGAGGCCAAAAGAGAAATGCATCTTATGATTCAAACCTGCTGCTACTCAAATCAACGTGAATTTTGCTTTTGACTTGATTTGAGAGAGGGATTCAGCCATTACGATGGAAACGTAACACATTTTTCCATGCCAAAATGCATGTGGAACACCAGAAGATCCATAAAGGCAGCCTCATGTATCCTCCCTGGAGAACATATGCACAGGGGACAGATGCTGGCCAGACTGCAGCCCCTTTGGAACGAGCTCGGATACCATCGGTGGCTACAGCAGACGGACTGCGCAAGAAGAGAGCAGGGAAGAAATGTGATGAGCTCCTCCCTTCATTAGTGTTACTATTTATACCAGCCTTGAAGCATGCTATGTACTTTGCTCAGAGACACAAGACTGAGGTTCCTGCAGATAAGATCAAGAGGACACAGTAGAGCACTGTGCCCAGCCCCGCTGGGTCCCGGGTTCTCAGCAAAGTTTTTAAGTGGTCCATAGTAAAAAATATATATATACTATAAAAATATTTATGTGTATATATATTTAAATATATATACATATTTGTAAAGGCACTGAAGATGAGGAAGATCCAGCACCAGAGGAACACAAGAGCCAGGGCAGATGTGATTTGAGTGCAGGACGTAGGGTGGTACATGAACTACACTGCTTTACTTGACTGCAAGCTTCCCAAAGGCTACTGCTCCCCATAGACACCTCCAGGCAAGGGGTGAGCTCCTTCACCCAGCACGGCTTTCTGCGATGCCTCTCGCAGCCTTTAGCTTTTCCTACATGCCTGTGTGTGCAAAGGACACCACGGTGCAGGGCAGGAGCTGACCTGCCAGCACGCAGCCTGTCACTAGCAAGAAATCAGCTGGACTGGGCCTTGGTCAGATGGGCAACACATGGGGTGATACTACTTTCCTAAAGGCCAGAACTTCCAAGGAGTAAATGCACAGAATTATGTTCAGTCCCTATTCCGTGAAGGAGCCACGATTTGCTTGTGAAGATAACGCAAGCACCTAATTACCTGTCTCTCCTAAGACTGCGAACAGACACGTTCGCGAGCATTTCCAGCGCGCTACACCCCTGGAATGAGCAGGTATGAGTTTGGTATGAACAACTGCACGAGCCTCATGCAAAGGCATGAGGATGGCAAGCGATTTCAACATGTGTCTGGGCAAAACCGGCAAATCCTCTCGTCCTGAAGTGAGGCGCTCGCTCGCCCACCCCTGCGCGCCTGGGTCTGCGCGCGCCTCTTCCCAACCGTGTTTACCTTGTGGAGCCCGTCCATTAACGCAGACACCAGCTGCAAGTGCTTCCCCTGCCATACAGAGTCCTTTTTGTCTGCGAGCAACATGTGGTATCAATTTATCATGCTCAACAACGCAACAAGGAATCCACTCACTTTAAAAATAAAAAGGGAGTTGTGTAACTTAACTCTTAAAAGCCCCTGCTCTGCCAAAAAAAAAAAAAAAGCCTAAAGATTAGCAAGACGCGGTGCAGCTGGTGAGTGCCCTGTCCAACTTACACACTGCTCTGTTTGCATGTCAGCGTGTTGTAGTGGTCAATTCGTTATTTCAGATACAGGCTCCTAAACTGTCAAGTTACATCCACAAATCAAAAGCAGCAGTTTATTTTCACAACTGGGATATTGGGGGATGATGAGCGAAAAACAGCACTATCTGCAGACTAACAAACACTGGTAAAGCTCACTTGGGAGAACACTACTTTATTTCACTCTTTATTAACATATTTAGGGTTCAAACTTCACTGTATGAAGTTTTTTGGAAGCGACGTAGCAGCGAAAGGAATAAGCTTCAATCCTCCAGAAAAGAAGCCGGGAAAATAACTGCAGTTTATTGGCCTCCAGCTGGCAGGGGCTGACTGAACGGCAGCCTCAGTGGCCCTTACTTGCTAATCGGAATTTCAGTCTCCAGCCGACGTCACTTTGCTCCAAATTTTGCAGCCCACATCTCTTTGGGGATGGATGCTCCTGCAGAGAACCTCTGCAAAAAACAACTCATTTTCTTTAAGAAAAACAAACCAAAGCAAACTACCTGGTTTGCATTCGTTGTCCTTGGAAAAGGCGCTTGGAAGTAATCAACACATTTTGCCCATCTGTCCGGACCAGAGTGTCTGCCTTCTCATGAAGTAACTCAAAATTTGCTTCAGCTACCAGTTTCATATTTTGTTTGCTTTAAAGTCCTCAATGAGATTCAGTAGCAAGGAAACAGGAAAACAGATGCAGCGATTTCAAAATTATGAATAATTAAAGTTGCCAATTGTGTGCCTGTATATAGGAATTTTGGCTAAAGGGGATTTGCAAGCCTCAGGCAAGGAGACTCAGCTTGATGGTCTCACAGTCTTTTGCTGCTCTGCTCTACAGACCCTAGTGCTGCCCATCTCAAGGACCTTAAAAGTCTACGGGCCAAAGAGTTCTCTGAAAGTTTTATCCTTCCCATCTTTCTGGTTTTTGCAAACCAGAAAAAGATAAATATTGTAATATAGTAGTGGGAGTGCTCTGGAGATGCAGAAAAAGCAAGAAACTAAGGCAAAAGGAAAGCCCTCCCTCAGCACCTGCCTAGCCATGTTGTACCAAAATATATCCTTCTAGTTGCCTTTTTTCATATAAAGCAGATATCGTATTTTTTTTTGCTATTATATTTTTCTCAGAATTATTGAAATTCAGGGGGAATAAAAAGTAGCATTGAACAAGTTACACACACAGGAACCAGAGAAAGCAGCTCTGGTGCTGCACCCTCTTTGATGGCCCCGATCTGAGTCTCCTCGTCACCTTCTCTCCAGAGGAGCAGGGTTTCTGACCAGGATGGCTCTGCAGGCGAGGGAGGCTCCTGACCACCCTTGCGGGGCGGATAGCACCTGGAAACACGCAGCTAAGAGGGCTCGGTCACAGCTTAATCAAACATTTTTTCTATTAAAAAAATGGAGCTGGGTTAAAACAACTGCTGCCTCACTCTGAAAACACAAATACGGTGAATTGCTGCCCTGACGTAAATAAAGCGCCGCTCGAAATACACTCTGCCTGGAAATTGTCTCAAAGCATCAGGCTTCCAGTTAGCAGAAAAAAAATCTCTGGTTATTTTACAGTCAGGCGGCTCCTGACCACAGGAGGACTCTAATAACTAACATTTGCTTTGCTCCGAGTGGGGCGTGCTGCTTGCCGTTTATTTCTTTCCACGGGGTGCTGGGCGAAAGGCAGCAGAGAGTGAAGAAAATGTTGATGTTTTTGAATACCATAAGTGCAGAGCCCTGTGAGGATGAACAGAGTTTGAGGTGCAGACGGAGCGACGGACGCAGAGGAAAGGCTGGAAGGAAAGGAAAAATCAGCTAAAAGCAAGAAGAAAAAAAAAAAAAAGAAAACTACCCCAAAGCGTAAGGCACTTGGTGCAGAGGCACGGCAACGGCCGGGTGGCGTGTTTGTTTTCTGCGAATTTGGGCCGGGCCCGAATAACCCCTTTCCCAGCTGTTGGCGCTCCGGGAGGGCCGGGAGAACATTCCATTCCCGGCGGCGCCGGACCTGCGCCGCCCGCCCCGGCGCCGCCGCCAGCGCTCAGGAGACACGTACGCGGCCTGCGCTCGCTCCCCTCCGCAGCCGCCTAAAAATGTCACGCTGGCCTTTTCCCCACGGCTTGCGGGAGCCGGGACCGGGCAGCGCGACGGAGCCCGCCCCTGGCACCTCGTGCCGGGCTTCCTCCGTCCTCCCATCCGTGTGTGCGACTGCAGGTCGGCGCCAAACTGGGGAGCACGGCTCGTTTTCAATCAGCGGATTTAACTTAGTTAAGCGGAGGAAGCTACTTCAAAGTGTCGCCAGAAGATTTGTCCGTTTTTTTCTCTGACAGCGAAGCCATGATTTGAAGTGTTTCTCACTGTCGTAGGTTTGGCAGTTTCACCACACTGCGGTCGCCGAGCACCTTCCACGGGGAATCGCTGCGTTTCTCCTCCTGCGGCCTGTCAGGCCCCCGGAGAAGTGCAAGCGTGAGCTTAACTTCATCACGCGTGTGGCAGTGCCCATAAAAACAGCTGCCCACGGTCACCACCGGCCCGATCCAGTGGTCCCTGCAGCTAACGGAAGGCTGCATTCCCAGAGACCTCCACAGTCACCAAGTTAGGCCTCAATGAAAACAAGGCAATTTTATCGTAAGACAGATTTTTATCCTAAGGGTGCTTATTTTATTTTATTTTATTTTATTTTATTTTATTTTATTTTGTTTCGTTTCATTTATTTTTTTAACTACAATTAAAATTGCACCCTCATTTCTCCCTTTCTAAACCCAAAGATCGCCGCAAAAACCTCACGGAGGCTTGTGGAAACGAGAGTGCTACAGTTCTATTTTTGTTCATTCTCTACATATGGCCGTTACTATACATTGACTATTTAGAAACGTGCATAGGCGTTCTTTCATGCCCCTATAAATAAATGTGAGTGCTGCTATTGCTTATAATAATTCACTGAAAATAGTAGTTTCCCATGAAAGATCACAAAAACCTGTCAAAGTTGAATCACCTATTATAAATCTATTAGCTATTTTCTTTTTTTTAATGTTTTAACACTTACAAGAAATGCAAAAAGCAAACAAACAAACAAACAAACAAAAAACCCAGCAATAACTTCCACTGTACTGTGGCAAGCTAAAACCAGTGTGTATTAAGAAAGTCTTCTGGGGCTTCTGCTTTACACAAGTGCAATGTTCTTGCATGTGGCTCCCAGAAGTGTCAGTTCTGAAGTGACATAACTCCAAAATGGTGTATTGCTAAACATATGGACTCTATTAATTGGAAGTGTTGAACTGCACATGTTAAATTGCAAATTTGGTGACAGTTATAGCTAACGTGACTGATGAGGGGAACAGATCTGATAGGCTGTCAAATGTTGGGAGTCTGCTTGGGCCTGAGCAGGAGACCTTCCAGCAAGGGAGCAACCTCCAGTGCGGCCCTGGGCATTTCTATTACGTAGCCTAATCTGAAACAGGACCCCTCTCCTGAGCTATATAAAGCACCTAATTAGCTTATTATTGAACCAGAAGAAATTATCTCATTTTTAAAAATGTCCATTTTAACATATGATGCGTTTCGGCTGGCAGCCGGCAGGTCCGAAGGAACGCTGTGCTCAACCTTCCTGGGCACCAGTGGGAAGCCGAGGATGGGCATGAAAAGTGACCTTCAGGCTTCCTTTCACGATGGGTCTGATCTTCTGCTGTTAGAGGCTAAAACCCCTCACAAGCCCCAGGGGAGAGCTTGCCCGGGTGAGGAAGGCACGCGGCAACTAGAATTACTCACAGGATTACTCCCCTGTGCAAATTTGGCTGGGGTGTGAATGAGGAGGTGATAGATGAGTGAACACAGCAACTTGAAAAACAGGTATCTTCTCTTTCAAAACTCAGTATGGGATAACTATGGCACTGCTGACAACAACCTATGCGCTCCTCAAAATGTAATGGTAGCTACAAAATATCACTATCTTTTGAAAGTAGAAAGAAATCAGTTTTCCTTTAGATGGATTCTGATGCGAATTCTTACTTCACCCAGAACTTACCTTTGAGAAGGCCCTTGTCTTCTAGGCCTTTGCTAGACTTTTTCCTCTTTTTTCCTACGTTTTCTAGATTTTCCCTCAATGTAAGGAAACATCTGAAACATAGTGTCTGGAAATTGATTTGAAAAACTTCATTCAGTTGCCCTCTGTAAATACTAACGAAAGTCATGGCATGCCAGGCGGCATGGGCAGGCAAAACCTCCCCTCTTTATGCCATTCCCACAGGAAGAGCAGCCAGGCAGCTCTGCTGTGACCGCTGTCTTCCCCCGTCCCTTCCTTAATCTCACTGCCACGTCAGCGTTACTCTGAGCAGGGCACAGCTCTGAAGACACTCGGCCTACAACCCACAGCTCTAGCTGCAGCACTTGCCGAGATGGCAGCATTTGCTTCCTCCATGGAAGAAAGCTTCTCAGAGCCAGGTGAACACCACAGGCAAGTTCCCAGCCCACGTCCATCCCTGGCAAAATCATCTTGACTTCAGCAGTAGCTTTAGATAGAGAGCTTGCCCACAGCCAGGCCAAACTCTCCTTCACCCCTTTAAGGTTAATCGCAGCCTCATGTATCTCCACAAACTGCTTTGGTTTTTAATCGCACCTCGTCTCACTTTGATGACTTACATGCTACTGGTTTTACTGGATTTCTTAAAAATTTGTTTTCTGTTCACTTCAGGGTTAAAATATACCTCAGGAGCTAGCAAAAGGCAAGATGACATCTAGTTGTGACGCTGCCAGTGAATCAGCT